AATAACTACCTTTTAATAGATTACCACATACCCTTTTTATAAATTCATGTACAAATGAACTCAGATATATCATACCACTAAAACATGTATAATTATGTACTATACAAATATATTTTTAAATGTCAAGGAGTAAGAAATACTAGCTGACTTGACTGTACCATTCATGTTATATTAATGAATCCAATTATCACAATATATTCCATAAAATGTATGATTAAAATAAAGAGGAAAGTGCAGCAAACATTGATCCCTTCCCAACTCCAAAAACATTTATTTTATACATGACAAAGAAACTGACTGAATTTTGGTCTATACTTTCTGTGGCAAGTAAAATTTATTTTAAAAATTGCTTTGTATTTAGCTGAGGATATTTCCATGCAAAGTTTAAAAAGAATTGTTAATAAATAATTGTAATTATTGTCAGTTGTATTGCCAGTTGTCGTTGAAGACAATTGATAGTTGACAATTTTTTTAGTATTTCCAGGGAATTTCAGGAAAGAGTTTTCTTTTTTCCACCTTCTCCTCTGGCTACTTTCCTTGGACTGCTGTGTGACTTTCTACTTGTATATCTCTTCTTCAGCTGCTAAAATCAGGTTGCCCTTCTTGCATTCTGTAATTTTTCCTTTATTTCTTTGACCAAAGAAATCTGCATCTTTAGATAATTCACTGGGGTAGAAATTGAGAACAGAATTAATCTGTAATTTAACTTCACTACGTTGGATGAAAAACACCTTTAATTGCTGTAAAGAAATTCTTCATTCTAGCATTCTAAGTGTTCCCTTTTAACTGAACAGAGTTTTCTTTTGTATATTTGAGGTAAATTTTCAAAATGAATGATCCTCTAATTTTCAGGCTTCATTTTAAAATATATCTGTTTGAACATGCAGTTTATTCTGACAATATGTTTAAATTGTATAGGAATATATAACAAGTGAATGGCATGGTGTGAATGTAAACCAAATCCTGATGGTAATCTTGCTTGTATTGGTATGTATGATTTACAGAACAGCAAACAGACTGGACCACAAAAAGAAGTCCCTACCCCCGACACATAATAACCAAAACACCAAATCTACAGAATAAAGAGAAAATATTAAGAACAGCAAAGGAAAAGGCCAAGTAACACATAAAGGCAGATGTATCAGAATCACACCCGACTTCTCAAAGGAAACTCTGAAAGCCAGAAGGGAGCATGGATGCCAACCCAGACTACTGTACTCAGCAAAACTTTTAATCACTATAGATGGAGAAAACAAGATATTCCATGACAAAAACAGATTTAAACAATACATATCCACAAATCCAGCAATACAGAAGGTTCTGGAAGGAAAACTCCAACTCAACGAACATAACTACACTCACAATAACATAGGAAATAGATAATACAATTTTACCAAACACGAATAGAATCAGGATGGCAAAATCCAGACAGAATGACACCACCAACAATAAATCCAAAACAAACAAGAACAAACAATCAATGGTCATTAATATCCCTAAATGCCAGTGGTTTTAATTTACCCATAAAAAGATATAGGCTAACAGAATGGATATGAAGACAGAATCCATTCTTCTGCTGTATACAAGAAACACATCTCCACTTCAAAGACAGGTGTTACCTCAGAGTAAAAGGTTGGAAAACGATTTTCCAATCAAATGGACCCAAGAAACAAGCTGTTGTAGCAATCCTAATATCTAACAAATTAGACTTCACACTAAAATCAATCAAAAGAGATGAAAAAGGGCATTTCATACTCATCACAGGAAAAGTCCATCAAGATGAAGCCTCAAATCTGAACATCTATGCCCCAAATACGAAGGCAGCCATGTTTGTAAAAGAAACATTGCTAAAGCACAAACCACTCATAAAACCACACACACACACTTATAGTAGGAGACTTCAACACCCACCTTTCACCACTAGACAGGACCACCAGACAGAAACTTAACAAAGAAACAAAGGATCTGACAGAAGTTATGACCCAATGGGTTTAACGGAACATATCTTTTAATAATTCAAAGATACATTGCACTCTTTGTTTTTTGACAGCACTTTTTAAATTTTTTTAAATTAGTCAGTAGCTTGCTTCACATGTCAATCCCAGCTCCCTCTCCCTCTCCTCCTCCCCCCTGCCCCAAACAATCCCCCAAGCCCTCACCCCATTCCCCTCTGCTTCCCAGGGAAGGTGTAGCCCTCCATGGAGGATCACTAAAGTCTGTCATATCATTCCATGCAGGGCCTAAGCCCTCCCCCATATGTCCAGAATGAGAGAGAATCCCTCCATGTAGAATGGGCTCCCAAGGTACATTTATGTGCCAGGGATAAATACCAGTCTACTACCTGAAGTCCCATAGATTGTCGAGGCCTCCTCACTGAAATCCACGTTCAAGGGTTCTGAATCAGTCTCATGCTGGCCTCTAAGCCATCATTCTGGGGTCCCTGGGCTCCCATTTTTTCAGGTTAGTTGTTTTTTATGTGGGATTCACCAGCGTGCTCATGACCCCATTGCTCATCACTTGTCCCTCTCTGCAACTGGGTTCAAGGAGCTCTGTTCAGTGTTTAGCTGTGGGTGTCTGCCTCTGCTTCCTTCAGATGCTGGATGATGGCTCTATGATGGCATGTAAGGTAGTCATCAATCTCATTATCAAGGAAGGGTATTTGAGATAGTCTTTCCACTGTTGCTTAGATTGTTAGTTGGTGTCATCCTTGTAGATCTCTGGTAATCTCCCTAGTGCCAGATTTCTCTTTAAACCTAAAATGGCTCCCTATATTATGATATCTCTTGACTTGCTCTCCTCAGTCCTTTCCCTTACTCAACCTTCCTGCTCCCTCATGTACTTCTCTGCCCTCCTCTTCTCCACCTCTCTTATTCCCATCTCCCTGTCTCCTCCCTGCAAGCTTGCACTTTGCTCAGGAGATCCTGTATCATTTCCCTACTCCTCAGTACCATGCATATCCCTCTTAAGGTTCTCCCTGTATCCCAGACTCTCTAGTGGTAGGATTGTAGGCTGTCAATCCCCTGCTTCATGTCTAAAATCCATATATGAGTGAGTACATACCATGTTTGTCCTTTTGTGACTGGGTTACCTCACTCAGGTTGGTTTCTTCTACTGCCATCCATTTGCCTGCAAATTTCAAGATTCCATTTTTTGCTGAGTAGTACTCATTGTGTAAATGTACCACAATTTCTCTATCCATTCTTCAGTTGAGGGGCATCTAGGTTGCTTCCAGATTCTGGCTGTTGCAAATAAAGATACTATGAAAATAGTTGAACAGATGTCCTTATTGTATGAATGTTCATTTATTGGGAATATGTAGGGGAAGCTGTAACCATGCCTACTTAGGGGCTGGCTACAGGTGTGCCTGACCACGCTTGTGAGGGCGTGGTCAGAGTCATGTAGTGTGACTGCGTTTGCTCTTTCACTTTCACTTTGCTGCTTGCTGTACAGACCACTACCACGCCGGCTGGCTAGGCTGCTCTGTAAGTCAGGCTTTTCCCTATTAAATACCCTTATATTTCTACCTAACTCCGTATTGGTAATTTCCCACTATAGGTATATGCCTAGGGGTGGATTTGCTGGATCTTGTGAAAGACTGATTTCTGTTTTACTGAGGAATTGTCATACTGATTTCCAAAGTGGCTGTATAAGTTATCACTCTCACCAGCAGTGGAGGAGTGTTCCCTTTTCTCCACATCCTCTCCAGCATAAACTGTCATTAATGTTTTTGATTTTAGCCATTCTGACAGGAGTGAGATGATATCTCAGTGTTGTTTTGATTTGCTTTTTCCTGATGGCTAAGGATGTTAAGCACTTTTTTATGTGTCTTTCAGCCATTTTAGATTCTTTTATCGAGAATTCTCTATTTAGGAATTTACCCCACTTTTTAATTGAATTATTTGTTGTTTGGGGGACTAGATTCTTGAGTTCTTTGCAAATTTTGGAGATCAGCCCTCTGTTAGAATTGAGGTTGGTGAATATCTTTTCCCAATCTCTGAGCTGCCATTTTGTCTTGCTGATTGTATCCTTTGCCTTACAGATGCTTCTCACTTTCAAGAGGTCCCATTTATTAAATGTCGATCTCATTGTCTGTGCTACTGGTGTTATGTTCAAGAAATTCTCTACTGTACCAATTCATTCAAGGGTACTACCCACTTTCTCTTCTAGGAGGCTTTTGTGCCTGAATTTATGTTGAGGCCTTTGATCCATTTGGACTTAAGTTTTGCCCATGGTGATAGATATGGATCTATCTGCAACCTTCTACATGCCAGCATCCAGTTATACGAGCACAATTTGTTGGAGATGCTTTCTTTTTACATTGTATAGTTTTAGCTTGTCAAAATATCAGGTGTTCATAGGTGTGTGGGTTAATATCAGGGTCTTCAATTCCATTCCATTTGACTACCTGTCTGTTTTTGTGCAAATACCAAGCTGTTTTCATTACTATACTTCTATAATATAGATTCAAGTCGGGAATGGTGATGCCTCCAGAAGGTCCTTTATTTACAGGGTTGCTTTGGTTATCCTGGGTCTTTTGTTTTTCTATATAAAGTTGAAAATTGTCCTTTCAAGTTCTGAGAAGAATTGTGTCAGTATTTTGATAGGGATTCCATTAAATCTGTAGATTGTTTTTGGCAAGATTGTCATTTTTCTATGTTGATGCTACCTATCCAAGAGCATGAAAGATCTTTCCATTTTTTTGGTATCTTCTTTAATTTCTTTTTTGAATGACTCAATGTTCTTGTCCCACAAGTCTTTCACCTGTTTAGTTAGAATTACCCCAAGATATTTTTATGTTGTTTGTGACTATTGTAAAGTGTGATGTTTCTCTGATTTCTTTTTCAGCACATTTATCATCCATATATAGTAGGGCTACTGATTTTTTGGAGTTAATCTTGTATCATGACACTTTGCTGAAGGTGTTCATAATATGTAGGATTTCCCTGGTAGAATTCTTTGGGACATTTATGTAGACTGTCATATCATCTGCAAATAGTGGAAGTTTGACTTATCCCTTTCCAATTTGTATCACCTTGATCTCCTTTTGTTGTCTTAGTGTTCTAGCTAGAACTTCAAGGACAATATTGACGAGCTATGGAGAGAGTTGGACAATGGACAACCTTGTCTTGTTCCTGATTTTTAAAGGAATTGCCTTGAGTTTCTCTCCATTTAGTTTTAACTTGGCTGTAAGTTTGCTGTATATGGTTTTTATTATGTTTAGGTATTTTCCTGTTATCCTCAATCTCTCTAAGACATTTATCATGAAGGGGTGTTGAATATTGTCAAAGGCCTTTTCAGCATCTAGTGAGATGATCATGTGGTTTTTCTTTAGCAGGTTATTTATATGGTGGATTGCATTGATGGATTTTTGTATGTTGAACCATCCCTGCATACCTGTTATGAAGCCTACTTGATCATTGGTGTATGATTTTTCTGATGTTTTCTTGGATTCAGTTTGCCAGTATTTTATTGAGTATTTTTGCATCTAGGTTCATGAGGGATATTGTTCTGTAGTTCTGTATCTTATTTGTGTCTTTGTGTGGTTTGGGCACCAAGGTAACTATAGCCTCATAAAAAGAGTTTAGCAATGATCTTTCTGCTTCTATTGTGTGGAAATATTTGAAGAGTATTGGTATTTGCACTTGTTTGAATTTCTGGTAGAATTCTGTGCTGAAACCATCTGGCCCTGTGTTTTTTGGTTGGGAGACTTTTGGTGATTGCTTCTATTTCCTTAGGGGTTATAGGTCTATTTAAATTGTTTATCTGTTCTTGATTTAATTTTGGTTGGTGATATCTATCAAGAAATTTGTCCATATCCTTTAAATTTTCCAATTTTGTGGAGTACAGATTTGCATAGTCTGACCTGATGATTCTTTGGATTTCCTCAGTATCTCTTGTTATATCCTCCTTTTCATTTCTGATTTTATTAATTTGCATGTTCTCCTCTGCCTTTTGCTTAGGTTGGATAAAGATTTGTCTATCTTGTTGTTTTTCTCAAAGAACCAACTCTTTGTTTCATTGATTCTGTGTATTATTTTCTTTCTTCCTACTTTATTGATTTCAGCTCTCAATTTGATTATTTCCTGGCATCTCTTCCTCATTGTGAGTTACATTCTTTATTTTTCTAGAGATTTCAGGTGTTCTGTTAATTCTCTAGTGTGGCTATTCTCCAGTTTCTTCCTATGGGTACTTGGTGCTTATAACTTTCCAATTAGAACGCTGGGTGAGTTTACTTCTTTTTGTTCTATAGCTTTCAGGTGTTCTGCTAATTCTCTAGTGTGGCTATTTTCCAATTTCTTCATGTGGGCACTTAGTGGTATGAAATTTCCTCTGAGGACTACTTTCAGAGTGTACCAAAGTTTTGGGTATGTTGTGCCTTCATTCTCATTGAATTCTAGGAAGTCTTTGATTTCTTTCTTTATTTCTTCCTTGATCCAGGAGTGATGTAACTGAGCATTGTTCAACTTCCATGAGTTTGCGCGTTTTCTGCAATTTTTGTTGTTGTTAAATTCTAATTTTAAGCAATGGTGGTCTGAAAAGATACATGGGATTATTCCAATATTTTTGTATCTGTTGAGGTTTGCTTTATTGTCCAGTATGTGGTGAATTTTAGAGAAGGTTCCATGTGGTGCTGAGAAGAAGTTATATTCATTTGTGTTTGGATGGAATGTTCTATAGATGTCTGTTAAACCCAAATGAGTCATAACTTCTGTTATTTCCTTTGTATTCTGTACAGTTGTGAGAGTGGTGTGTTGAAGTCTTCCACTATAAGTGGGGTTTAATATGTGATTTGAGTTTTAGTAATGCTTCTTTTATGAATGTGGGTGCCTTTATATTTGGGACTTAGATATTCAGAATTGAGACTTTATTCTGATGGATTTTCCTGTGATGAATATGAAATGACCTTTTTCATCTCTTTTGATTAATTTTAGTTTGAAGTCTAATTTGTTAGATATTAGGATACCTACACCTGCTTGCTTCCTAGGTACATTTGATTGGAAAATCTTTTCCCAACCCTTAATTCTGAGGTAAAGTCTGTATTTACAGGTAAGTTGTGTTTCTTGTATGCAGCAGAAGGATGGATTCTGTCTTCGTATCCATTCTGTTAGACTGTGTGTTTTTGTAGGTGAGATAAGACCATTGATGTTGAGGGATATTAATGACCATTGATTGTTGATTCTTGTTTGTTTTGTATTCATTTTTTGGTGGTGTTGTTGTGTGTGAGTTTTCCCCTATTTATGGTTTTTGGTAAAGCGTAATTATCTATTGCCTATGTTTTTGTGAGAGTAGTTAACTTCTTTGGGTTGGAGTTTTCCTTCCAGAAGTTTCTGTAGGGCTGGATTTGTGGATATGTATTGTGTAAATCTGGTTTTGTCTTGAAATATCTCATTTTCCCCATGTATAGTGATTGATACTTTTGATGGTTATAGTAGTCTGGGCTGGAATCTGTGTTCTCTTAGTGTTTGTAGAACATCTATCCAGGACGTTCTGGCTTTCAGAATTTCCATGGAGAATTCAGAAGTAATTCTGATTGGTCTGCCTTTATATATTACTTTGTCTTTTTCCTTTTCTGCTCTTAATCTTTATTTATTCTGTATGTTTGTTGTTTTGATTATTATGTGATGAGGGGACATTGTTTTTCATCAACTCTATATGGTATTCTATAGGCTTCTTGTACTTTCATGGGTGTGTCCTTCAGGTTGAGAAAATTTCTTCTATTATTTCATTGAATATTTTTTCTGCACCTTTGAGCTGGGCTTCTTCACCTTCTTCTATACCTATTATCCTTAGGTTTGGTCATTTCACAGTGTCTCATATTTCCTGGATATTTTGTGTTAAGGATTTGTTGGACTTAAGTTTTTTTTTTGGTTGATAAATCTATTTCCTCTAGTTTATCTTCAGTGTCTGAGATTCTGTCTTCCATCTCTTGTATTCTCATGGTTATGTTTGCATCTGTGGTTCCTGATTGTTTACTGAGCTTTTCTATGTCCAGCATTCCCTCAGTTTGTGTTTTCTTTATTGTCTCTATTTCAGTTTTCAGGTCCTGAACTGTCCAAATGGTTTCCTTCAACTGTTTGATTGTATTTTCTTTGCTTTCCTTAAAAGATTTGTTGGTTTCTTGCATTTTTGTTGTGTTTTTTTCTTCCATTTCTTTAAGGAATTTTCTCATTTCCTCTTTAAGAGCCTCTGTCTTTTTCATGAAGTTTTTTTTAAGGTCATTCTCTTCTGGTTCTTCTGTGTTGGGATTTTCAGGTCTTGCTGGTGTAGAGTTCCTAGTCACTGGTGGTATTATATAAGTCTTTGTGTTGTTGGATATGTTCTTATGCAGTCATCTTCCCATCTCTTCTTCCGCTCAACTGGAGGGTGGAGGGGCAAGAACTGAAATGGCTGCTGATGAAACTGATTTTTTTGTGTGTGTGCCTCCAGGTCCCTCTTTGGGTTTTGGTGGCGGGAAGGTTCTGGGGGTCGGGATTGGGATAGG